ATCCCATAGCAGCATCCCATGGCGACATCCCATAGCGACATCCCATGGCGACATCCCATGGCGACATCCCATGGCGACATCCCATGGCAACATCCCATAGCGACATCCCATAGCGACATCCCATAGCAATATCCTATAGCAAGATCCCATAGCGACATCCCATAGCAACATCCTATAGCAACATCCCATAGCGACATCCCATAGTAACATCCCATGGCAACATCCCATGGCAGCATCCCATGGCAGCATCCCATAGCGACATCCCATAGCAACATCCCATGGCAACATCCCATGGCAACATCCCATCCCAGGGGTGCTCAGTGCTTGGGACCCCCAAATCCATCCCATCCCATCCCATGGGTGCTCAGTGGTTGGGGACACCCAGATCCGTCCTATTTGATCCCATTACATCCATCCCATCCCATTGCATCCATCTCATCGCATCCACCCCATCCCATCCCATTGCTCCTATCCCATCCACCCCATCCCATCCCATTGCATCCATCCCATCCCATTGCTCCCATCGCATCCATCCCATCGCATCCATCCCATCCCATCCCATCCATCCCATCGCATCCTTCCCATCCATCCCATCCCATTGCATCCATCCCATCCCATCGGTCCTAGCCCATCCACCCCATCCCATCCCATTGTATTGCATTAATCCCATCCAATTCATCCCATCCCATTGCATCCATCCCACCCCATCGCATCCATCCTATCCCATCCATCCCATCCCATTGCATCCACCCCATCCCATTGCATCCATCCCATCCTATCCCATCGCATCCATCCTATCCCATCCCATTGCTCCTATCCCATCCATCCCATCGCATCCATCCCATCCCATCGGTCCTATCCCATCCACCCCATCCCATTGCATCCATCCTATCCCATCCCATTGCTCCTATCCCATCCCATCCCATCCCATCCCATCCCATCCACCCCCTCCCATCCCATTGTATTGCATCAATCCCATCCAATTCATCCCATCCCATTGCATCCCATCCCATCCCATTGCATCCATCTCATCGCATCCACCCCATCCCATCCCATTGCTCCTCTCCCATCCACCCCATCCCATCCTATCCCATCCATCCCATCCAATTGCATCCATCCCATCCCATCCCATTGTATTGCATCAATCCCATCCAATTCATCCCATCCCATTGCATCCATCCTATCCCATCCACCCCATCCCATTGCATCCACCCCACCCCATTCCCCCCCCAGATGCTCCCCATTGGCCCCCCCCCGACCCCATTGACCCCATTCTCCTTTCCCCCCCCCTCCCAGACCTCCTGGTGGGCGCCTTCGGGGTGGACACGGCCGTGGTGTTCAGGTGGGTGCAGGGCAGGGGGGGGGGGGGAGGGTCCCTCCCCCCACCCCCCCCCTCTGACCCCCCCCACCCCCCCCCCCATTAGGGGCCGCCCCATTGTCCACGCCAGCGCCGTGCTCAGCATCGCCCCCACCATGGTGAACCCCGAGGAGCGAGGCTGCGTCCTGGACAGCGGCACTCACGTGGCCTGGTAATTGGGGGGGGGGGGCATGGGGGGCAATGGGGGGCATGGGGATAATGGGGGGCAGTGGGGGGGCAATGGGGTGCAGTGGGATGGGGATACCCCAAAGGGGTACCCAAAGGATGCAGGGATGGAGGATGCTGGGGGGGTCCAATGGGGGTCCTTGAGGGGTCAATAAGGGGCAATGGGGGGGCATGGGGGTAATGGGGGGCATGGGGATAATGGGGGGCAGTGGGGGGGCAATGGGGGGCAGTGGGATGGGGATACCCCAAAGGGGTACCCAAAGGATGCAGGGATGGAGGATGCTGGGGGGGGGGTCCAATGGGGGTCCTTGAAGGGTTAATAAGGGGCAATGGGGGACATGGGGGTAATGGGAGGCATGGGGATAATGGGGGGCAGTGGGGGGGCAATGGGGTGCAGTGGGATGGGGATACCCCAAAGGGATACCCAAAGGATGCAGGGATGGAGGATGCTGGGGGGGGTCCAATGGGGGTCCTTGAGGGGTTAATAAGGGGCAGTGGGGGGGCATAGGGGCAATGGGGGGGCATGGGGATAATGGGGGGGGAATGGGATAATGGGGGGCAGTGGGATGAGGAGACCCCAAAGGGGTACCCAAAGGATGCAGGGATGGAGGATGCTGGGGGGGTGGGGGGGTGGTCACAGGGTGGACTTGGGGACACCGGGGGGGGGTCACCCATTGTTGGGGGGGGGGGACATGGACCTCAGCGGTGTTGGTGCCAATGGGGGGGGGCAGCGATGGGTGCAGGGGGTCCCATGGGTGCCCCCCCCCCCCTTTAGCATCAACGTCAGCTTCTGCCTCAACGCCTCTGGGCGCCACCTCCCCCGCTCCATTGGTGAGTGATGGGGGGGGCACCCAATGGGGACCCAAGGGGACTTTGGGGGGGGGCACCCAATGGGGACCTGGGAAGGGTTTGGGGGGGGAGAACCCAATGGGGACCCCGGGGGGGGGTTGGGGGTGGGAACCCAATGGGGACCCCGGGGGGGGGTTGGGGGTGGGAACCCAATGGGGACTTGGGGGGGGGGGGGCACCCAATGGGGACCCAGGGGGGGTCTTTGCGGGGGGGGCACCCAATGGGGACACGGGGGGGGGGGGGGGTGGAGTTTGGGGGGGTTGGCACCCAATGGTGATTTGGGGGTGGTGGGGGTGGGGGCACCCAATGGGGACGTTGTGGGGGGGAAGCTGGGGGGGGGCACCCAATGGGGACTTGGAGAGGGGGGATCCCAATGGGGACCCAGGGGGGGTTTGGGGGGGGGTGGCACCCAATGGGGACCCGGGGGGGAGGTACCCGATGGGGACCTGGGGACAGGGTTTGGAGGGGGCACCCAATGGGGACCCGGGGGGGGGGGGGGGGTTTGGAGGGGGGCACCCAATGGGGACTTGGGGGGGGTTGCACCCAATGGGGGGGGTTGGGGGGGAGCACCCAATGGGGACTTGGGGGGGGTTGCACCCAATGGGGGGGGGTTGGGGGGGGCACCCAATGGGAACTTGGGAGGGGGGCACCCAATGGGGACTTCGGGGGGTTGCACCCAATTTGGGGGGGGGCACCCAATGTGGGGGCTGTTGATGGGGGGGGGCACCCTATGGTAACACCCAACACCCCCCCCAGGGTTCTCGGTGGAGCTGAGCGTGGACACGGCCAAGGGGGGGGGCTCCCGGCGGGCGCTGCTGCTGCCGGGGGGGGTCCCCACGCGCAGCCTCACCCTGCCCGTGCCCAATGGCAGCGGAGCCCGGTGCCACAGCGCGGCCCTGTTCCTGCGGGTAGGGGGGGGCATAGGGAGACATCACCCATGGACCCCTCACCCATGGACCCCGTCACCCATGGACCCCGTCACCCATAGACCCCGTCACCCATGGACCCCATCACCCATGGACCCCGTCACCCATGGACCCCATCACCCATTGACCCCATCACCCATGGACCCCATCACCCATTGACTCCATCACCCATGGACCCATCACCCATGGACCCCATCACCCATGGACCCCGTCACCCATAGGACACCCTCCATAGACCCCAATACCCGTGGACCCCATCACCCATGGACCCCATCACCCATTGACTCCATCACCCATGGACCCATCATCCATGGACCCCATCACCCATGGACCCCATCACCCATAGACCCCATCACCCATAGACCCCATCACCCATAGACCCTATTATCCATGGACCCCATCACCCCCCCATGGACCCCATCACCCATTGACTCCATCACCCATGGACCGCATCACCCATAGAGCCCATCACCCATGGACCCCCCCATGGACCCCATCACCCATAGAGCCCATCACCCATGGACCCCGTCACTTATAGACCCCATCACCCATGGACCCCCCCATGGACCCCATCACCCATAGATCCCATCACCCATTGACCCCCCCCCCATGGACCCCGTCACCCCCACATGGACCCCATCACCCATGGACCCCTTCACCCATGGACCCCATCACCCATAGGACACCCTCCATAGAACCCATCACCCATAGACCCCATCACCCATGGACCCCATCACCCATAGACCCCATCACCCATAGACCCCATCACCCATGGACCCATCACCCATGATCCCCATCACCCATGGACCCCATCACCCATGGACCCATCACCCATGATCCCCATCACCCATGGACCCCATCACCCATAGACCCCATCACCCATGGACCCATCACCCATGATCCCCATCACCCATAGACCCCATCACCCATAGAGCCCATCACCCATGGACCCCATCACCCATAGACCCCATCGCCCATAGACCCCATCACCCATAGACCCCATCACCCATGGACCCCATCATCCATAGACCCCATCACCCATAGAGCCCATCACCCATGGACCCCATCGCCCATAGACCCCATCACCCATTGACCCCCCCCCCCATGGACCCCATCACCCATAGACCCCATCACCCATGGACCCCATCACCCATGGACCCCATCACCCATAGACCCCATCACCCATAGACCCCATCACCCATGGACCCATCACCCATAGAACATCCTCCATAGAACCCATCATCCATAGACCCCCCCATGGACCCCATCACCCATGGCCCCCCCATGGACCCCTTCACCCATGGCCCCCCCATGGACCCCATCACCCATGGACCCCATCACCCATAGACCCCATCACCAATGGACCCCATCACCCATGGACCCCATCACCCATGGACCCCATCACCCATAGACCCCATCACCCATGGACCCCATCATCCATGGACCCCATCACCCATGGACCCCATCACCCATAGACCCCTCCATAGACCCCATCACCCATAGACCCCCCCATGGGCCCCATCACCCATGGACCCCGTCATCCATGGACCCCATCATCCATAGACCCCATCACCCATGGCCCCCCCCATGGACCCCATCACCCATGGCCCCCCCCATGGACCCCCTCACCCCTGTGCCCCCCAGAATGAGTCCGAGTTCCGGGACAAGCTCTCTCCCATCGCCGTGGGGCTCAGCTTCGCCCTGGACCCACGGGCGCCCCCCGATGCCCATGGGCTGCACCCGGTGCTGGCGGCGCAGACACGCACCCACCTGGAGGCAAAGGTACCCCCCGGCCCCCCATGGCACCCTATAGAGCCCTATGGAACCCCGTGGCACCCCCTGGTATCCCCTGGTACCCTGTGGCACCCCATCCATGACACCCGCTGTCACCCACGTCCACATCACCCCCATGTCCCCATCGCCTCCGTGTCCCTCTGTCCTTTATCCCCATACCCCATATCCCATGTCCTATGTCCTAGACCCCATAGCCCATATCCAGTATCCCGTATCCCATATCCCATACCCCACATCCCATACCCCATATCCCACAACCCGTATGCCGCATCCCATGCCCCATATCCCATACTCTGTATCCCATACCCCATATCCCATATCCCATACCCTGTATCCCGTATCCCATATCCCATACCCCACATCCCATACCCCATATCCCACAACCCGTATGCCGCATCCCATGCCCCATATCCCATACTCTGTATCCCATACCCCATATCCCATATCCCATACCCTGTATCCCATATCCCATACCCCACATCCCATACCCCATATCCCACATCCCGTACGCCACATCCTATGCCCTATATCCCATATCCCATACCCTGTATCCCGTATCCCATATCCCATACCCCACATCCCATACCCCATATCCCACAACCCGTATGCCGCATCCCATGCTCCATATCCCATACTCTGTATCCCATACCCCATATCCCATATCCCATACCCTGCATCCCGTACCCCACATCCCATACCCCATATCCCACATCCCGTATGCCACATCCCATGCCCTATATCCCATATCCCATACCCTGTATCCCGTATCCCATACCCCGTATCCCACATCCCATACCCCATATCCCATGCCCCATACCCCATATCCCACATCCCATACCCCGTACCCCATATCCTGTATCCCACATCCCAGATCCCATACCCCACATCCCATGCCCCATATCCCACATCCCATGCCCCATACCCCATATCCCACACCCCACATCCCATACCCCACGCCCCACATCCCATACCCCACATCCCATACTCCACATCCCGTACCCCACATCCCATACCCCACACCCCACATCCCGTGCCCCACATCCCATGCCCGTATCCCACATCCTGTGCCCCACATCCCGTGCCCCACATCCCGTGCCCCACATCCCCTGCCCGTATCCCACATCCCATGCCCCACATCCCGTGCCCCACATCCCGTACCCCACATCCCATGCCCCATATCCCATACCCCACATCCCATACCCCATATCCCACATCCCATACCCCATACCCCATACCCCACATCCCATACCCCATACCCCACACCCCACATCCCGTGCCCCACATCCCATGCCCGTATCCCACATCCCATGCCCCACATCCCGTGCCCCACATCCCGTGCCCGTATCCCATATCCCATGCCCCACATCCCGTGCCCCACATCCCGTGCCCCACATCCCGTGCCCGTATCCCATATCCCGTGCCCCACATCCCGTATCCCACATCCCGTGCCCCACATCCCGTGCCCCACATCCCGTGCCCGTATCCCATATCCCGTGCCCCACATCCCGTATCCCACATCCCGTGCCCCACATCCCATGCCCCACATCCCGTGCCCCACATCCCATGCCCTACATCCCGTGCCCCACATCCCGTGCCCCACATCCCATGCCCCACATCCCGTGCCCCACATCCCGTGCCCCACATCCCCTGCCCGTATCCCACCTCCCATGCCCCACATCCCGTGCCCCACATCCCGTGCCCCACATCCCCTGCCCGTATCCCACCTCCCATGCCCCACATCCCGTGCCCTACATCCCTTGCCCCACATCCCATGCCCCACATCCCGTGCCCCACATCCCGTGCCCCACATCCCGTGCCCGTATCCCACAGGCTCACATCCAGCTGGACTGTGGTGAGGACAATGTGTGTGTGCCCGACCTGCACCTGGAGGCCTTTGCGTAAGGGGGGGTCCCGGTGTGTGCGGGGGGGTCCATGGTGACCCTGGTGTCCCATGGTAACGTTGTTGCCATGGTGACGGTGCAGTTGCCATGGTGACTGTGCTGTTGTCATGGTGACGATGCTGTTGCCATAGTGACACTGGTGCCATGTTGATGGTGCTTTTACCATGGTGACCCTGGTGCTGTTGCCATGGTGACGCTGGTGTTCCCATGGTGATGGTGGTGTTGCCATGGTGATGGTGCTGTTGCCATAGTGACACTGGCCCCATGGGGATTGCGCTGTTGCCATGGTGACAGTGCTGCTGCCATGGTGACACTGGTGTTCCCATGGTGATGGTGCTGTCGCCATGGTGACGGTGCTGTTGCCACGGTCACAGTGCTGTTACCATGGTAACGATGCTGTTGCCATAGTTATGATGCAGTTACCATGGTTACAATGGTGTTGACATGGTGACGATGCTGTTACCATGGTGATGATGCTGTTGCCATAGTGACACTGGTCCCATGGTGATAGTGCTGTTGCCATGGTGACACTGGTATTCCCATGGTGACTGTGCTGTTGCCATGGTGACACTGATGCTGTTGCTATGGTGACGGTGCTGTTGCCATGGTGACGCTGGTCCTGTGGTGATGGTGCTGTTGCCATGGTGATGGTGCTGTTGCCATGGTGATGGTGCTGTTGCCATGGTGACAGTGGTTTTGCCATGGTGACACTGGCCACATAGTGATGGCGCTGTTGCCATGGTGACAATGCTGTTGCCATGGTGACACTGATGCTGTTGCCATGGTGACACTGATGCTGTTGCTGTGGTCGCAGTGCTGTTGCCATGGTGACGATGCTGTCGCCATGGTGACGGTGCTGTCGCCATGGTGACGATGCTGTTGAGGCTGTCACCATGGGGATGATGCTGTTGCCATGGTGACACTGACACTGTCACCATGGTGACAATGATGTTACCATGGTGACAACGCTGTTGCCATGGCGACACTGATGCTGTCACCATGGTAACAGCGCTGTTACCATGATGACACTGATGCTGTTACCATGGTGACACTGATGCTGTGATGCTGCTACCATGGTGACGATGCTGTTGCCATGGTGACACTGATGCTGTGATGCTGCTACCATGGTGACGATGCTGTTGCCATGGTGACACTGATGCTGTGATGCTGCTACCATGGTGACGATGCTGTTGCCATGGTGACACTGATGCTGTGATGCTGCTACCATGGTGACAATGCTGTTGTCATGGTGACACTGATGCTGTCGCCATGGTGACCCCGATGTCCCCGCAGTGACCGCCGCGCCGTGTACCTGGGGGACCGGAACAGCCTGAACCTCACCTTCCATGCCCGGAACCAGGGCGAGGGGGGGGCCTACGAGGCCGAGCTCCACGTGCGGCCCCCCCCACACGCCCAGTACACGGGGGTGCTGCACCCACATGGGGTGAGTGGGGCGGGGGGGGGGCTGTGCCCCACAAGTGGGGGTTGCGACCATGGGGGGGGCAAGGGGGGGTCCTCAGGTGGGGGGGGGGGGTTTGGAGGGGTCAAAGGGGTGCCTGTGGGTGCCCCTGGCTATGGGGTGGGTGCCCATGGGTGGGAGGTGAGTGCCCCATAGGTGGGTGCCCATGGGTGGGAGATGAGTGCCCCATAGGTGGGTGCCCATGGGTGGGAGATGAGTGCCCCATAGGTGGGTGCCCATGGGTGGGAGGTGAGTGCCCCATAGGTGGGTGCCCATGGGTGGGAGGTGAGTGCCCCATAGGTGGGTGCCCATGGGTGGGAGGTGAGTGCCCCATAGGTGGGTGCTCATGGGTGGGAGGTGAGTGCCCCATAGGTGGGTGCTCATGGGTGGGAGGTGAGTGCCCCATAGGTGGGTGCTCATGGGTGGGTGCCCCCTGGCTATGGGGTCAGTGCCCCATAGATGGGTGCCCATTGCTGGGTGCCCGTTGTTGGGTGCTCCTTGATGGGTTCTCATTGATGGGTGCCCACTGATGGTTGCCCATTGCTGGGTGCTCCCCATTGGATGCCCATTGCTGGGTGCTCCCTATTGGCGGCCCATAGATGAGTGGTCCTCATTGGGTGCCCATGCTGGGTGCTCACCATTGGGTGCCCATAGACGGGTGTCCTCCTTTGGATGCCCATAGAGGGGTGCCCATGGCTGGGTGCACCCCATTGGGTACCCATTGATGGCTGCCCATGGCTGGGTGCACCCCATTGGGTACCCATTGATGGCTGCCCATGGCTGGGTGCACCCCATTGGGTACCCATAGAGGGGTGCCCTCATTGGATGCCCATTGATGGGTGCCCATGGCTGGGTGCTCACCATTGGGTGCCCATGGCTGGGTGCACCCCATTGGGTACCCATAGATGGGTGCTCCTCATTGGATGCCCATTGATGGGTGCCCATGGCTGGGTGCACCCCATTGGGTACCCATAGATGGATGCTCACCATTGGATGCCCATTGATGGGTGCCCATTGATGGGTGTCCATGGCTGGCTGCACCCCATTGGGTGCCCATAGATGAGTGCTCCTCATTGGATGCCCATTGATCGGTGCCCATGGCTGGGTGCACCCCATTGGGTGCCCATAGATGAGTGCTCCTCATTGGGTGCCCATTGATGGGTGCTCCCCATTGGGTGCCCATGCTGGGTGCTCACCATTGGGTGCCCATAGAGGGGTGCCCATGCTGGGTGCACCCCATTGGGTACCCATAGAAGGGTGCCCTCATTGGGTGCCCATTGATGGGTGCCCATGGCTGGGTGCACCCCATTGGGTGCCCATAGATGGATGCTCACCATTGGATGCCCATTGATGGGTGCCCATGGCTGGGTGCTCACCATTGGGTGCCCATAGAAGGATGCCCTCATTGGGTGCCCATTGATGGGTGCCCATGGCTGGGTGCACCCCATTGGGTACCCATAGAAGGGTGCCCTCATTGGATGCCCATTGATGGGTGCCCATGGCTGGGTGCTCACCATTGGGTGCCCATGGCTGGGTGCACCCCATTGGGTGCCCATAGATGGATGCTCACCATTGGGTGCCCATTGATGGGTGCCCATGGCTGGGTGCACCCCATTGGGTACCCATAGATGGATGCTCACCATTGGATGCCCATTGATGGGTGCCCATTGATGGGTGCCCATGGCTGGGTGCTCCCCATTGGGTGCCCATAGAAGGATGCCCTCATTGGATGCCCATTGATGGGTGCCCATGGCTGGGTGCTCCCCATTGGGTACCCATAGATGGATGCCCTCATTGGATGCCCATTGATGGGTGCCCATGGCTGGGTGCTCACCATTGGGTACCCATAGATGGATGCTCACCATTGGATGCCCATTGATGGGTGCCCATGGCTGGGTGCTCACCATTGGGTACCCATAGATGGATGCTCACCATTGGGTGCCCATTGATGGGTGCCCATGGCTGGGTGCTCACCATTGGATGCCCATTGATGGGTGCCCATGGCTGGGTGCACCCCATTGGGTACCCATAGAAGGGTGCCCTCATTGGATGCCCATTGATGGGTGCCCATGGCTGGGTGCTCACCATTGGGTGCCCATGGCTGGGTGCACCCCATTGGGTGCCCATAGATGGATGCTCACCATTGGATGCCCATTGATGGATGCCCATTGATGGGTGCCCATGGCTGGCTGCACCCCATTGGGTGCTCCCATCCCCCCGGTGCCCTCACCCCCAATCTCTTCCCCCCCCCCCCCCAGAACTTCTCTGCCCTCAGCTGTGAGCTGGGGGGGGGCAACGGCTCCGGGGCCCTCATCTGCGACCTGGGGAACCCCATGAAGGCCGGGGCCAGCGTGAGTGGGGGAGGGGGTGGGGGGGGTGGGGGAGGGGGTGGGGGAGGGGCTGTTGTGACCCTCCCCCCTCCTCCTCCCCCCACAGATCTGGGGGGGGCTGCGCTTCACCATCCCCCACCTGAGCGACAGCAGCAAAAGCATCCGCTTCGAGCTGCAGATCCGCAGGTGGGGGGCGTAGGGGTCTGTGGGGTGCTATGGGGTCTGTGGGGTGCTATGGGGTGTATGGGGTGCTATGGGGTGTATGGGGTGCTATGGGGTGGTATGGGGTGCTATGGGGTGGTATGGGGTGTATGGGATGGGGTGCTATGGGTTGTATGGTTTGCTATGGGGTGTATGGGATGCTGTGGGGTGTATGGCGTCCTACGGGGTGTATGGGGTGCTATGGGGTGTATGGGGTGGTATGGGATGCTATGGTGTGTATGGGATGCTGTGGAGTGCTATGGGGTCCTATGGGGTGCTATGGGGTGGTATGGGATGCTATGGGGTGTATGGGATGCTGTGGAGTGCTATGGGGTCCTCTGGGGTCCTGTGGGGTGGTATGGGTTGTATGGGATGCTGTGGAGTGCTATGGGGTGTATGGGATGCTATGGGGTGTATGGGGTCCTATGGGGTGCTGTGGGGTGTATGGGGTGCTATGGGGTGTATGGGATGCTGTGGGGTGTATGGGGTCCTATGGGGTGTATGGGGTGGTATGGGATGCTATGGGGTGTATGGGGTGCTATGGGATGCTATGGGGTGTATGGGATGCTGTGGGGTGCTATGGGGTCCTATGGGGTGTATGGGATGCTATGGGGTGTATGGGATGCTGTGGAGTGCTATGGGGTGTATGGGGTGCTATGGGGTGTATGGGGTGATATGGGATGCTATGGGATGTATGGGGTGGCATGGGATGCTATGGGGTGTATGGGATGCTGTGGGGTGCTATGGGGTCCTGTGGGGTGTATGGGGTGGTATGGGATGCTATGGGGTGTATGGGATGCTGTGGGGTGTATGGCATGCTATGGGGTCCTGTGGGGTGTATGGGATGCTATGGGGTGTACGGGATGCTATGGGGGGGGGGGTCCTAGTGGGGGGTCCCCTTTGAGGTGGGTCCCTATGGGGGGGTTCCTTGTGGGG